ACATTCCTAGCCCCTGGAGATTTCTTAAAAGGACCTGTAGTGACAAGGACATTGTGAGTGACATGGAAAATACAAAGCACAAAGACATGTGTAACACCATAGAATTCAACAAATAAAAGAAAAATTTGAGTGTGAAGACCTGAGTTCAGGTTCTGGAAGCAGCATAAAACAAGTGGCACTCCTGTGCATTTTATAAATCCAATGTCTGACTTAGGAGAAGGAACTGGACGCTAGGGTCTGCCAGTGCCTTACTCTTCCATGTCCTGTCATTTAGTAAAATGTCTGCCTTAATACCAATAAAAATCAAAGCAGAGTGGAGGCACACAGACCTGCCTAGCAAGACCCTACATTCAAACCCTGAACCTAGAATGTCCAGATGCCAAGGAAGGGAGCCATGTTCAGTCTTTCCCATTGAAGGTGGGGCACCCAAAGGTACAAACCCACCCAACCCCGAGCCCCATCACCTCCTGACAGCCCTGGGAGGCACTTCTCTGCAGAGTACTCAAGGTAGTGGGGTGTCACTGTACGTTCACTTGTTTCTACAAAGAATGTTGCTTATGGCTAAGTTCTTACCAAGGATTTCCACAGGCCTGCTTCTCCAATAGTAACTTCTTCTCATCTTCAGAAAACTGTAAGTCCAGTTCAAAAGAGTTAGTGTCCAGACCGTGGATGTACTGCTCTATGTTGCTGCCCGACCTGTGGGGCAGGCTTGTGTCCACCGCAGACAGGGAGTGGGAGGAGGAGGAGGAGGAGGAGGACACTTGCATGCAGCCAAACTGGCTCAGAAGGTTGTCGTACTGCAGGGAAGGAGAAAGGAGAAAGGTACCTCAAGTTGTTGCTAGGGTCAAAACCCCCTACCTACTGCCCCATCCATAGTCTCTAACACTTGGTGAGCTTACACACTCTCTCTGCTCCGCAGGGGCATGTGAACAGCTCTAATTCTCCACTGGCCATCTTGCTGCTAAGGCCAGGCAAGGCTGCACCTTTGTGCTCTGAGTCCCTCTTCTGATAGGAACAGGAGTCAGAGATGGATCTATAACTCAGCCACCACTTCCAGGGAGGGAAGACCTGGAACCTTCCCCCAACACAGCACTAACAAGGGTGGTAAGTGAAATGAAATGCAAACCTGGTACCAATGGCTCACCCCCATAATCCTAGCTACTCAAGAGACTGAGATTGGAAGATGGCAGTTCAAAGCCAGCCTAGGCAAGAGAGTCTGTAAAACTCTTATCTCCAATTAACCACCAAAAAAGCTGGAAGTGGCTCTGTGGCTCAAATGGTAGAGGTCTAGCCTTGAGCAGAAAAGCTAAGGGACAGCGCCTAGAGGTCAAGTTTAAACCAGAGGACTGGCGCTTGGCTTGCATATTCAACTGGTTCTCTCCTTGAGCCATGCTTCCAACCCAAAAACATTCCTTTCTAATCTCAGTAGAGATTAATCAGATTTGACATAAAGTTGCTTATAGTTTGAGAAAACTACAATTGTATTAACACACACACACACACACACACAAAAACAGAACTGCCGGGCGCCAGGTGGCTCACGCCTGTCATCCTAGCTACTTAGGAGCCTGAGATCTGAGAATCAGGGTTCAAAGCAAACGCTGGAAGTAAAGTCCGAGACTCTTATCTTCAATAAACCACTCAAAAACCGGAAGTGGCTCTGTGGCTCAAGTGGTAGAGTGCTGGCCTTGAGCTGAAGAGCTGAGGGATAGTGCCCAGGCCCAGAGTTCAAGCCCCACAACCAACCAAAAACAAAAACCAAAACCACAGTACTACTCACAAACACGCCACATGAGCAGAACCCAGGCACTCACAAACTTCCAAGGCAGTGACAGGACAAAGCAGCTTCGGCACAGAGCTAGGCAGTATAAATAATGCGGTCTTACAGCTTTCTTTTCTTTTCTTTTTTTTTTTTGCAGGTCCTGGGACTTGAACTCAGGGCCTGGGATCTGTCTATGAGCCTCTCTGTGCTTAAGGCTAATGTTCTACCACTTGAGCCACAGAGCCACTTTGGGCTTTTTCTGAGTAGTTTATTGGAGACGAGAATCTCATGGACTTTCCTGTTCAGGCTGGCTTCGAACCATCATCCTCAGATCTCAGCCTCCTGAGTGGCTAGGATTACAGGCATGAGCCCCCGGTGCCCAGCTTTGGCCTTACATCTTGAACCCTGCCAGAGACCAATGACTATTGGTTCTTATCAGACCTCATGGACCCTGGCTCAGAGCACACAACCTCACAGCAGACTTCCTCTCCGAGGGCTTTCAATATGAGGATGCCTGGGCATGAGGCTCACAGAGGTGACCACAGGACCCCACCCAGGGGCACAAGAACCTTCTAAGCCATAAAGGTGGTGGCTACTGTGGTATTACTTTGCACAAGGGAACTGACTAACTCCCTTAGCCAAAACTGAACTCGCATATCATAGAGCTGCTCACTGAGTGCCAGGACTACACACACTGGGCTATTTCCTGCCCTGGGCCCCATGAACTGTTCCAAAGATGTTCCTGAGGTTCTTCTAGCCAATCTCCCTGCCACCCCTCCCACTCCTCCCACCCCTCCAGCAGCCAAGCTCAGGGGTAGGCCAGGCAGAACTAGTGGGGAAGGGCAGCCATGGGGCACCAAGCGGCAGGAAATATCCAATTCTGCTGGCCCAGTGCAGACCTTCTACAAAAAACCCAGCCTTGGGCTGGCCCACTACGATGCCACAGAGGCCAGCATGCAGCAGGGAGTCAGGAACTGGCTCTTGCTTCCTTATGCCCTGACTTCAGAATGGACAATAGCTATCATCATCCGCCCCAGGCAAGGCCCTCTCTACTGGGGGAGGTCAGACCCAGAGGTACAAGCACCCCACTCACAGAGAGGGGGTGACTTGCCTCTGGAGCAGGTTTCCCCAGAGTTTGCTCTCTCAAGGCCAAATCTCTTCGGAGAATCTCTCCTCTCTGCCCAGAACTTCCCAAGGCCCTCAACTCTGGAATGAAGAGTTCAGAAGTGACCACCTAATCAAACCAAGTTGCTAATGCTGCTCACATGCCAGATATTACAGGTGGCGGCCAAAGCTTGTCATCTAGAAGCCAGTGCCTTCCCTAGCACAAATGAGGCCTGCAGAGATATACACACACACACATTCATGCGCTTGCACACGCAGGGTGGAGAGAGGATTCTGGGTGTAGTCTATGCAGGATGAGCTCGGCTGCCCCTGGGCGTGAGGGAGGAGAAGTGATGGGAACAGGCAAAAGGCTGCCCCTGGGCAGGACTTCTGCAGGAATGACGGCCATCAGAGGGGCGTGAAGCCCCACGGCTCCTGCTAGCAGTGTGAAGAGGTGTCACCAACTGGCAGCACGTAGGCAGCTTGCAGGAGTGGCTGAGGGCCTGCCGGCTGCTGGGCAGCGTTCTCAGCAGTGGACACAGCTGTGAGAGCGGGGGCAGATATAGACTCTTGAGCTCAGCTCTACTCAAGTCCGGGCACAAAGGGCGTTTTAGGACAAACGGGGAGTAGTAAAAGATAAAAGAAGTGAAAGCATTGTTGATAGATCTACAAATCTTGTCTAGCAGCCTTACTAAATGAAAATGTACATAACTTATAACTAAGGATTTCCACTCCAGAAATGAATAAATGATCCAGAAACAAGTTCAAGAATAGGCATAAAAATTATCTTTTTAAGTTGCCAGAACAATGAGTCTTTACCCTCATTTCCTGAATGGGGAACAAGTAATCTTTCTCTCTTTTTAAATTTCTCTCTACTTTATCATTGATTTTAAATTAAAAAAAGATAAATTGCCAAAATGAAAAGCAATATGAAATTCCCAACCACAACAGAGTGGATAAATTGTGGCATAGTTCATACAAAGGAATACTGTGTGTTAATGTAAACAAATGAAAAGACATAACATTGTAGATGACTTTCACAAAAATATTAGGTGACAGGCCAGGTATAAAAATTACTTATTGAAGCCGAGCACCGGCGGCTCACACACGTAATCCCAGATACTGAGATCTGAGGATCATGGTTCAAAGCCAGCCCAGGCAGGAAAGTCCATGAGATTCTTATCTCCAAAAGAACCACTAGAAAACTGGAAGTGGCACTGTGGCTCAAGCGGTATAGCACTGGCCTTGAGCTGAAGAGCTGAGGGGCAGCACCCAGACCCAGAGTTCAAGCCCCACAACTGACCAAAAAAAAAAAAATTACCTATTGTAGGCTTCCAATAGAAGAAGAAGAAAAAAGAAGAAGAAGAAGAAGAAAACACAGGTTGCCAGTGGCTCACGCCTGTAATCCTAGCTACTCAGGTGGCTAAAATCTGAGGATCATTGTTCAAAGCTAGCCTGGGGAGCTGGGCACTGATGGCTAATGCCTGTAATCCTAGCTACTCAGGAGGTTGAGATCTGAGGATCTTTGTTCAAAGCCAGTCTGGCCAGGAAATCCATGAGACTCTTATCTCTAATCACCGAAGAAAAGCGGGAAGCAGAGCTGTGGCCAAGTGGTAGATCACTGTTTTTGAGCTGAAAAAAACAAAACTGAGGGAGACCGCCCAGACCCTGAGTTCAAGTTCAGGACTGGGGAAAAGA